AATTAATAATAATAATAATAATAATAATAAAATTAATAATTAATAATAATAATAATAATATTTAATTAACATAATAGCATTTTTGTCGCAGTAGCCTACAAGTTACAAACGCAAGAAAGATATTAAAGTGTGTACCTTATAGAAAAGAAAAAACACTCTCATCATCCATCCTTCTTGATTAATAGCTAATATCTAATAATAATAATAGTAATAATAAGTATTTACATAAACGAATGCAAGGAGAAAAAAGCTGCAGCGAAAGTCGAACAAAACCAACTAATAATATATCTTTCAAACATATTTTAAGAGCTTCATTATAATATACTTTTTTTTTTCAAGTATCTCGTGATTTTTCTTTATGTATCTTTTTTTTTTACACAATCTTAATACAGACTATTCGATGATACACTTATTTATTTTTATATATATATATAGGTGATTTATATATATATATATAAAAGAGGAAAAAGAGAGATCTCACGTTATTAAATTTTTTTCTTCTGTATTGTGTTTTTATGAAAACACATATTAGGTATAGAAATTTATTCGATGTCTTGAATAAATACTAAATTTGTTTTAAAAAGGCATCGAATTAATTTTTACACTTAATACATTCATTAATTCATACATAATGCATACATACATACGTACACACATAAATTCAATTTGTTTAGTTTTCTTGCCTACGGCATTAATTATTAACAACAACAAGGGGAAGCTTTTTTTATTTTTTACTTTTATCATTAATATTTAATGAAATAAAAAATAAAACTATAAACTCATATCGCTATAACTAATGATAATAACAATAATAATAATAATAATAATAATAATAATAATAGTAATAACTTATTAATTTATTTGTTTATTTGCCGTAGGAGAGAAGTAAAAGCTGGGATTTCAATGTTGTAAACGAATTCGAAAATCTGCGAGTAATTAATTAATTAATTAATTAATCATCAATCAAGTAATTAATTAATCGATTGATTGACATCTTTTCACAGAGATTTGTTTAATATCAACCGAACAGAAAAACAAAAGAAAAAAATAATTTTTATTATATCTGCGCTCTAGGTACTGATTAAGAATCGTTACCAGTTGTTCATGAGAAAGGAAGAGATAAAGAGAGAGTGAGAGAGATTGGAATTACTCCATGCATAAGATAGATAGTAACATAATCTCTGTAGTATTCATATCTGACATATTTTTTTGTATTTTTTTTTCTGGTTATTTTATATATTTTTTTTTTTGGTATTTTATTCTTCGTAAATGAAAAAAAGACTAAGCACTTTCATATCGTAGAAGAAGAACAAGTGATCTTACTCAATCGGTATATCAATCATATAACCGAACGATATCTTATCGAAAAATAAGAAATACAATTATAAATAGATACTGCATTTTTCTAAGGAATTAAAAAAAGTGATATTTATAATTTTAGAATCACGTGACGTTAAATTTTGTTGAACAAAGTTCATATTGAAAAATTCAAATTTCCCGGGCTTTTGTTATATGGTGGGGTGACACACTTTGCCAGCAAGTAAACGGCGGGTAATTCGAATTTAACAAACAGCCGTATTTCAAAATCAGGCTTATTCTCAACACACGAGATGAAAAAAGTTTTGCGAGAATTTCTCGTTGCTTGCCCTTTTTCGAATTAATTATTTATTCGTGTTCGCGTCACGTAAAAACGGGGAACCTTTATTTTGTTTCGTATTATTTTTGTTTTATCACAGCCTTCCATGTAATCGTTGGAAAGCTCCCCAGTGACAACGGACAACGAACGCATACGTAATTACAAAAGCCTACTACACAATATTTTGACATATTCTCAATCTAAACAAAATAAAACAGCGAGTGTGTTTTACGGAGTCATTTTGTGATTTTTCTTTTCTTTTAAATCATGGCTTCGAGCTATTATTTCCCACCGCTTTTACATTGATTGTGAGTCATAACGCACTACACAAACTCTCTGTGAATTACGTACTATATTACTCTTGGTAATCGCTAAAAGGATATTTCTGTCTTTCATAGTCGTAGGAATATTATCGTTCCCTCTAAGAAAAAAAGGAAAGAAAAGAAAAGAAAAGAAAAATAAATCAACGAAGAAGGGGTAGAGATAAGTGGGAAGAATAAAAAGTAGGGAGTAAGAAACGATAGCAGCTTTTGTTTTTCTTTTTTCTTGGGACACGACACGCGACACACAACGTTCGACGAGAAAGAGAAAGTATAAAATATAATTATAAGAAAGATGAGTATAACAAATAGGGAAAAAGAAAAAAAAAAAAGAAAACTAATAAAATTCGAACGAGCTTGAGTAATAGAGAAAGAGAGAAGACGACTCTCTCTCTCTCTCTCTCTCTCTCTATCTCAACAAATGACTCTTTGTTTTTGATTGCGCGTTCGATTTTATTCGGTTTCGTTCGAATTCTCTCCTACACATTATATCATTAGAGTCATGAATATTCCGCTAAATGAAAAGTCATGCGCGGAGGGTAATAATTACTATGTTGCTGTTACTATATCATAATTGTTTCAATGTAATGTTACACTAGCCGTAGGAGAGAACCCAAAGTAATACAATATTATTATTTCTTTTTAGTTGATATTTTTGCCTTGCTTTTTTATGAAGAAACACACATCATATCTCGAGGATCAAGCATTTACTACTACCATCTCGTACAATTCCTGTCACCTTTATCATCTTTTTTATCATCATCATCATCATCATCATCATCATCATCATCATCTTTTTCTTCTTTCTTCTGGACATGTTCGTACAAACGCGTGATAAGACGTATCCTCCTCCTCCTCCTCCTCCTCCTCCTTCTTCTTTTTCTATTATCAGCTCACATCTTCTTCTTCTTCTTCTTCTTCCTCTTTTATTATTTCTTCTTCTCTCCTTATCTTTGTAATTCACCGAAACCAAATTGTTGTTGACTCGGTACAACTTGTTGTTGTGTATTACCGGAGATGCTACACCGGACCCCATGGTGCTGCGCCACTGTCGCCGTTGAACTTTGTTGCAACCCGTTTTGGCTCGGAGACATGCCTGAAAGGAAACAGAGAGAAACTATATGAGGGAGGGATTGGAAAGAGTAAGACAGATAGACAGAGAGAAAAAGAGAGAAAGAGAGGGAAAAAGAGAAAGAGAGAGAGAGAGAGAGAGAGAACCAACTACGAGTTTAATGTATGCAACCCCCGTGTATACACGCTCGGCGGGGAATGTTTCGGGCTTGCTGCCAACGTTACGAGAGACTCGAGACTCGATCGTTCCAAAACGTTATATTACACACGTTCCTATGTTCCTTTCTTGTTTGTTCATATATTTGTCTGCGAAGAGAAACGATATTTTATATACATATGTGTATGTATATATATATATATATATATATATATATATATTTCCAAACGATTGATTGTACGTTTCTTTCCTTATCCTTTTTTTTTTTTTTTGGAAGAGAAACAATAGGGAAAGTATGCATTTCTGTTTGTTTTTCTTTTTTTATAGATTATACGAATGACGAGACACAATATCAACTACTATTAATGTAATAAGAAGGTTGAGAAATGGATTACGCGATGGATATTATTTATATCGGTTTTATCGGTTATATTTAAATAATAGCTAGGATAGAATATACATATACACATACATATATATATATGTTAACCAATCAACGATTCTATAATATAACTTGGGGTACACTTAAAGTTTAATATTTTTAATGAATTAAAACATGAACTCTTGAGCAAATTACATTTTCTTTTTTTTTGTTTTTGTTTTTTTTTTAAATTTATTACAAATATCCAAAAGATCTAATATCACAGCGACGATTTTCCAACGTTCGAATAATGGCAGCATAATCGATAATGAAGTATCCCATATATTATTTTACGATGCGAAACTTTGAATCAATTCTTTTTTTTTTCCTTATCTTTAATGCGAATCTATATAAAGAGATGATGTAATAATAATAAATTAATTAATCGTAGATAAAAACACGTTTTGAAACTTTAGTCAATCATTTGCAAAGATCTTCGTTTAAGAATGATTTATTTCTTATTTCATTTACCTGTGGGTGTTTTCTCACCAGCCGACATTTTGGAAAATGCGGCCAACGCTTCCGGGAAATTCGGTGGTGTTGCTGGTGTATTACAAGGTGTGATCTGTAACAAAATAATAATAATAATAAAATATATTTTCTATATAAATAATTTGTAATTAGTAATTCGTGATACACGAGCAAATGTAAATTTATAAAATATGGCGAAGGAAATTTTGTAACGTATAATTTAATTATTATTCTCCAACGTATCATGTGAAAAAAAAAATAAAATCATTCAAATACAACAACTTCGAAGATCTTATAATGTTATCTGTATGTATTAATTTTCAATCATGATTAGATTTCATTTGGAATACGATAACATATTGTTAACCGGCTATTATTAATATAGATATTAGTAATTGAATTGAAATTCTTATTTAAATATTAACACACAATTCAGTATAATTAGTAATATTAAAATCATCTACACAAATAATTACATCAGTTGTGTGTATGCATTTTAGAGTATGGTAGTATGCATACAACAAACACGAGTATATATTCTTTATCGGTCAATAATGTTTTAACAATAAGATAATCTCTTAAAGAAATCTCTCGAAAATAGATAAGAAACGAAACGAAAGGAATAATACAGAAATTGTTGTTTTTTTTTTCTTTTTTTAATCAAATCAAAATGATGGAAAAATTTGTTACGTCAGAATGAAATAATAAAAATTATTTCTGGATGAGTGTATATCGTATGAATGAAAAATAAATAAATATATAAATAAATAAATAAATAGTAGAACTGTGGTGGACACAGTGGGATTTTTAAAAGGAATAAAAACCATAATCGTCGGGGTATTGCTAGTTAAAGGTCGTCGACATATACACACCGGATCCAGAACGTGACGTCAGGAATTAGGTGAACGAACACACAAACACAGACACACACACACACATATGAGTATATTATATAAAGAAATAAAAACAATACAGAAGGTGAATACATACATACATACATGCATACATACGTACGTATGTATCTATTCGTTTTCTAATAAAAAACCTTGTGAACTAGTTAAGCACACAACGTTAAAACGATAAAACTACTTCGGTAGTAAAACAAATGCAGCCTTCTATCGATCGTGTTAATGTGTAACGAGAAAGATACTTTGTATCAGTAGTTCTTAACCATACCACCATTCTATCTCATATTTTTTAATTATTTTAACTAAGACATATTTATATCGAAGTGGATATTAATGGACTCGAGGCTTTTCTACTCAGTGGTTTTCAATCATGTTTACTTTCCATTTATATTCTCTATTTTATTGTCATTCATTTTGTGTTATACTTTTTTAATAAGGCAATTCGTACACGAAGAATTAAAAATAATAACAATTTAATAACAAAATCCATGTGTAGGAATTGAAATGAAAGAAACATTCAGAACGTTGATGTCAAATCAAAAAGATATTGTTCAAAAAAATTATTGAATTATTTATTTAATTATTGAACATTTTTTAAATAATTCATATTAAAATAATATTAAATAGGTTAAATTTTAATTTTTTGAGAAACGTTATTAAAATAAAATAAATCAATAGATTTGTAATTAAGAAATTTGAAAGAACGACAAATTGAATTATTTTTACCTCCCACTGATAAATTTACCGAGTAGTAATTACTGCAAAGTATAATTGACATGTTGTAAAATGTTTCAAATTGATGAGAATTTTGATGTACGCCTGCATTATAATATAATACGTATGTTATAGGTTTTTTAAATGCTCTTATTTCTAATTGCAAATAATTTTAATAAAAAGAAAACGAGACATAGTAGTAATAGTAGTAGTAATAGCAGCACCGTGCCACCACAGATCGTATCGAAATTTTAATTGCTTTCTGTGACTAATGGTAGTATGAATAATGGACAAATTTTTGAATAGAACAAAGTGAGAGGATAGGCGTGCGCGAATGCATCCAATGAAATAGTCATGAATTCACCCGATACACCGGTTTAACATTTTACGCTTGCGCAAGAGAGAATCTATTCAAACATTTTTTTTCTTATGTATTTGTGTGTCTGTGTCCTGTCTCTCTACTGTATTGTACTGTGTGTGTGTATGTGTATATGAAAAGATGCAACGCAGCAAAGAAGAAGAAACATACACGTATTATATACATTAACGTGAAGTTTATAAACTAAAGAATTTCAAATGTTTTAATGAATTTTAATATTATATATATATATATATATATATGTTTTAATGAATTAAATAGAAAA